CCCCAACCCCTCAACACCCTCCCCCCTCCCTCCAAAAGGACTCTTTCCTTGACGAGGGCTTCATCCTGGACAAGAAGATCGGCGTGGGGCAGCCTCACCGCATTGAGAACGCCAAGGTGCTCATCGCCAACACGCCCATGGACACAGACAAGATCAAGATCTACGGCGCACGCGTCAAGGTCGACTCCATGGCCAAGGTGGGCGCAAAGGGGGAGGGGGGCGTGGCCCGAGGCTGGGAGGGGCCATGAATCGCAGGAGGCGGGGTGCAAGTTTGACAGGTTGGAGAGTGTTTTGGCCCCTGCAGGCTGGACGTGCAGCGGATGGCAGTTTGTGGCAGTTTGTGAGCGGCAGCTGGTGCACCGCCTGCCTATGGGCGTCTTGCGCGAGGCTGGTACGAGCCAGTGCCTGGCTCATCCCCTCTCACTGTGGCTCAAATCCATCCTTCCCCTGTCGTCCCCGCGGCTCAACCCAGGTGGCCGAGATTGAGGCGGCCGAGAAGGGGAAGATGAAGGAGAAGTGCGAGAAGATCCTGGGCCACGGCATCAACTGCTTCGTCAACCGCCAGCTCATTTACAACTACCCCGAGGAGATCTTCGCGGAGGCCGGTGAGCTGCCCGTGGCTGGGCGGCACGGGTTGGCGCCGACGACCGCGGCCCCCACCTTGCGACGCATGTCTCGCTGGTGCCCACACGTCGCAGTCACACCGCGACCTGCCCGATCCACCCCCTCCCCCCGGCAGCTAACTTCCATGAAGCCACTCGACTCCCCTTGTCTTAAACCTAGCGGCCGCCCTGCCCTCCGTCTCCCCCCCCCCCCTCAACCCCCCCAGGCATCATGTCTATAGAGCACGCCGACTTTGACGGCATCGAGCGGCTGGCGCTGGTGCTGGGCGGGGAGATCGCCTCCACCTTTGACAGCCCCTCGGAGGTGGGCGCCCCCTGGCAGGGTGGAGCGGCCAAAAGTCGGGGCTGCCCCAGGGATGCGCTGCTGTTAACGACGACTACCGCACGACCCTGAGCGCTCCACAGCGCCGTGGGCGGGCAAGCATGAGCTTAGTGCTGACGCGGCCTGTGGCCACAATGCGTGCACGCACGCGCACGTGCATGTATACACACGGGCCCATGCGCGCACCTGCACACACACACACTCTCACTCTCTCTCTCTCTCTCTCTCTCTCTCTCTCTCTCTCTCTCTCTC